CTGGGGCAATTTTTTTTTTTTTTTTTTTTTTTATATATATAAGATGGTGAATTCCCATAACTTCTTCGTGTGTTTACTTATTTTTTTTTGAATTCCTTTGGTAAAAATCATGCTTCCACCACGGTATATATTGATGCATCTTGCATTACTTACTAATTTATGCAGTGGCAGAGGCAATATTTTCCGTGAGGGAATTAAAAAGAAGTAAAATGTCATGCATGTTTACGAGTCAAACTCATAACCTAAAATATTTTTTGAAAATCCTTTGGTATTAATAGCATGTTTGGCTTAACTTCTCCAAAATCAAAAGCATGCTTCTTTTTTTTCTAAAGTTGAAGTGTTTGACCAAGCTTTTAAAAGAAAAAAGTATTCCTGAGTAGAAGTAAAACCAGTTTTGGAGACGCAGAAAAAAATAATTTTTTTCCAAAAGAACTTTTGAGAAAAATACACTTAAAAGCACTTTCTAAAATCTTGACCAAATACTAATTATTGCTGAGAAGTGCTTTTCAAATTAAATAGTCAAACACAAACGGTTTCTCACCAAAAGTACTTTTGGAAAAAAATATTTTTGAGTAAATAAGTTGATTTTTGAAACTTGGCCAAACATGCGATAAACTGAAAGCTTCCCATGTGAGGGGATGCAACATTAATCCATGCATATATATATATATTATACATAATTTTTCAGTCAAAAAGTTTTAGTCAAACCCTTGAGTTATGTAAAAGAAATGACATGCACATGTACTAAATTAAAAGAGGAACTTAAAAGAAATATATACCTAAGGTGTCATTGACAATGCATGCATATACATCAAAAAAAATTAATTACCTATATACACAGTATAATTTTTTGGCAAAGACAATTCAGTGCTCCGCCTTAAATTTATTTTTAAGAAATGATAAGCACATGCACAAAAAGAAGAAACTTGAAAGAAATGTATACCTAAGGTGTCATTAACAAAGAAAGGAGCACTCATTCGAGCCCAATCCATGTAGTTGAAGCCATAATGCCAATTTTCTGAACCTCCAACAATGAATCTATTGGAAGTTTGAGTAGCATTTGGTGGATGAGTATAAGGGCAATCGGTTTTGTTCCAGTTTCTAGGACCCCAGTTGAAGTCATAGTTGGCTAAACCAATAGCAAACATGCATGAGAATACTGCAAGTAAGAGAAATGCTTGTGCCTTAACAAATGCCATTTCAGCTCCGATCCCTAAAACTCGAAAAATTTGCTAATGAGAAGAAGAAAAGTTGAAGTGCTGGGGATGATGAGTGAGCCAACTGATATGGAATATTTATAGCAAAAGTATATGGTCAAAATGAAGACTAATTAGGAAACGAGTAAGAAATCAGTTGGTCATTTTCCTGAATTAGTTGGTTGGTGAGACAGGAAAATTAGTGCAAAAATATAATTCTAGTTTTTCCCCACTGTTTATATCTTTTCAAGCGAGACTGAGTAAACTATGTTCAGTACTTCCACCACTATATATTAGATTCCCATGTGGAGTAACATATTATATAAATCAGGTCTTGTTCTATATGTGAACGGAAATACACTTAAACTTGCCGTAATATATTGAGCATTTATCTTTTTTGAAGTTGGAATGTAACCTTATTATCTTTTTTATTATTATTATTATT